GTCCATTCCCTTTTCAAAATAAATATATTTATTATATTTATCAGCAGATTTTTGATTTGCACGCCAGGAAATTTTGAAATGTACTTTAAAATTGTTCAAAAGTAATAACTTTTAAAAAAGGAACAACCTTTGTTGTTCCTCTCTCTCTCTGATAGAATCAAGAGTGATATAATGAAAACAAAAGTCATGATCAGCTTCAAAATCAGCTTGTGTGCACAGGTTTAAGAAGTACATGTAATTGTATCGATATAGTGAGAGCAAACAATTCAAAACCCAACTCAAGATTTCAAGAACAAAAACTATCGATTTAAACATAACAAAAATAAAAAGGTCAGTGGCAAATTATAGAGAAAAGACCCATACGGTGAAACAACACCTCGCTTGCACGTTTACGCATTATTATTGCCATTTTGTGAGGTGCTAAACTGGTTTCCCCATGTAAAGTTAATCAAGTTGCCCCCTCCCCCCCTTTTTTTCCCCATTCCCCAAGAAAACACTTTAAAATCTGTAAATCTCTCTGCCTTAGTGCCTGACCTTGCTTTAACTCACAACAGTAATCATTCAGCTCCAGTTTGACTCATGGTTGCACTTTAGTAGTTCTTGTAATGTCTAACAAATTCTTTGGACAGTGAATCCCCATTACCCCAATGGCTATATGAGCAGAAGGTCTTTCCTGACCTTCCTCACATACACTTTACAAGCAGATAATATGAATTGTACCACCACCAAAAATAAATAAATAAATAAATAAATAAATAAAATCTTATTAGCTTACTAGCCAAAAAGCCCATTATGCTCTGAAACCACAACTTTGAACATGCATGCAGTTAGTCATCAATGTATGTTAAGCCTCAGTGTTTATCACATAGCACTTCTTTTAAGCCCATTTAAACTCAAATTCCATGTGAGAAGTTAAACACACAAGTTAACTAAAAGAAAAAATAAAACTTAATTGAAATTTATTTTTGACAAGGGACGCATACAAAAGAAATATGCCATCTTCTCAGTCACAACACTCTGCAATTTAATGCTACAGATATCACATGCTGGAGTCCGATTCTGCTTTCTCAACTAGGTGTTCCTGTGGTATGCCCTGGCAACCTTCAAGTACTGTACAGCAAAAAATAAATGTAATGAGCAAACTAGCATGTTCCAGATATTTTTTAATAGAATAATTATAGCTAATTATAACAAAAAAAGAAGATTTTGTTGTTATAGAATTAAGGGACATACTGTCCTTTAATTCAATTTTATTGCATCAGAAAGTTGAAGGCATCACCCATGATCAAAATGCAAAAGGCTGCAACATCACCAAAGCTACTGACGTCAACAGACAAATTATTTTAGTGCGAGAAAACCACAAAACTATTCATCTGAGATTAATGCCACTGGACTTACCAGAATAACCTCTAGTGCAGGTAGAATGCCCATGTTTGATAATGTCTTGAAGAAAGCATCCCTGTTTTGAGGTTGTAATGTTTGAGAGAATGCACAGAACTCCTTTAGGAAGTTTACCTAAAAGGAATAAACAGAGGTCAACAAAACAAAGATCTTAAGAGTTTGTGACTGCAACAACTTTTAATAAATAAATTATTAAATTCTGGTATACCAGTTCGTGTCTTTTGTCATCATCTGTGGCCTCATCTGTTAGCTGTGCAAAGAGGTCTGTCAGGAACTTCTCATCGTCCTGACATCAAAAAAGGGAGATGAGATTTTAAGAAGTCAGTATTAAGAGTATCATTAATATGTCAATGTATGACAGACACCCAATTTTCACAAGTTACAAAGCTGTTATTGGTTTACAATGGTACAAGTCTGACATAATTACACAGAAAACAAAAGTGAATTGCATCATGTTTGTCAATGAGAAATTTGGAGCATAAACAATGTGATCTATCTGGTCATAAAAATACTTTTGATATGTTTATGCTGAAAACACCGTCTCATTCAATGACATCTACTACCACTTTAAATATTTTTTAAAACCTTGGTTAGTGAACGGTTTGATTTAAGCTTGCCTGCCTTATGCTAATTAAGGAAGCAAAGACTCATATCTGTAGTGTTTGACTTCAGAGCCTGATATAGCAAAGAACACCAGAGTCAACAATGTGCCCGTTTCAGTTTTCCTCTAGCGCAGCATAACAGATTTACACAACACTACTGTGCCTCCATGGAGACAGCCATACATAAACAATGCTGAGTTGACACAGGATAAAAACACAAAGGTCACATGATCATAAAAGGCTGCCAGACAATCTCAGACAGGGTAAAAGTACAATCAGTCAAAAATAAAACCAATGTACAATCCTATAATTACTGTAATTTGAGGCTCACTAACATTTCATAAAAGAAATTCTCCTTTGTGAGGATTACAGTATATTCACAAGTTTACCTATTTATAACACTTGCTTCAATTAAATCATTGAATTAAAATGTAGTGTTTATACAAAGTAAAAACAACCCCATACTGTTAGATCATACTACTACATGTCTGCTTATCTCACCTGTAGCATGCCCACAATCTCCACCTTGTTGAAAAAGATGAAGGAGTGCAAGGTGGACAGCATGTTTTCCTCAAAAACAGAGGGCGTGGGCAGCACCATATCCTGAATATACTGCACCCGATATGTCTGGTGAATTTTCTGACGCAGTTCAGGATCAGAGATGGGGATCACCTCCTTAAACCGGGCTGTTTTAGTGAGAAACTCACGATGCCGCCTTGGCTGCGGGAGTGCTGGGTCAAACTCCAGGCAACCAATGACGTCCATTATGCACTCATCAGAGAACATCACCTCAAAGAGTGCAGTACGATTCAGCAGGAAGATGCCTTTCATTATTTCATACAGGTGGTGCAGTCCCTCTCTGTTCTCCAAATCCTCACAAACACGGAACAATTCCAGGAGCTTGCGAATATAGCCTTCATTCTCCACAGCCAGTGCTAGTTTTTCACGCCGCAGTGGTGATGGGAGAGAAGAGGCCACCAACTCGGCCAGGTCCTCCAAACGGTTCAGTTCGCATGGCGGTAATTCCAAACCTGGGGATGACATGTCATCAAAACGCTCCTCCTCCGATTCGTCCACCACATCCTGTGTGATGTCAACTGAAGGGTCCTTTCCCTGCACCTTAACAATAAAACACAAGTGCGGACAAACATATTAGCACCTCAGGATGTAACTACATAAGGGATCACCAGGAACACAAATAGCATCAAACCCACAAACTAATGGAGATGAAAAACTCAAACCCACACAAATTAAGTACACTAACCTGGCATATTTTCTCCCAGATTTCATCACAGCCAGCCTTCTCCTGGAAACTGAGTGCTAGATCATAATTTTCAGCCTCTGACCACACTATCAATGTGTCCTTTTCAAAAGAAAAACAAAGCCAATTTACAATAAACAGAGCAGAATGGGGGGAAAAAAATCAGTTTTGTATGTTCATCATGTTATGTACTGACCTGTTGTTTCTGGTAGGCTGTGTTTGGGTTAATTTTGGACTCCAGCAGAAGGGAACCTGTCAGGTTTAAAACAAAGGTAGCCCAAAATTGTAGGTTACTGCATTTGCTTCAAACAAGTAATACGTGTGCAAATTTCAGGTGATACAGGTGGTTAAAATGAGTGCGGAATGTATTGTTTTTGTAGTAATAACTGAGCTACTACAATAATCGTGTAGCATTCCTATGTTCTCTTACCATCGCTCTCTGCTCGCACTAGGAGAGACGTGCCTTTCAAGCGCTCCACATAGCCCGACGAGACGTGCCCGGTCCCACGGTCATCCCACTGTCTGTCCTCATTGAGGGTATAGACTTTGACTCGCCGACGAGTGTCCGTCATCCTGGCAGTTTCTTGTAACCCGTTCTCCCCTTCCGGGCCTTTTACGGGGTGCCTTCTTCACCTAGTAACGCCACAACTTCAATTCACTTTTTACAGCTGCTCACTTCTACAAGAGTATTAACTAAATATGAATCGGCGGGGGGTCACTTAGGATAAGTTCTAAAAGCAACTTAAAAGTGGAACGCCTCAACAAGTTTCCAGCAGGATTCCCCAATAGTTGTTAAAATTACTACTGCAATATCTCGCATTTCTTGACGAGCTGCCTCAAAACTTACACTGCCAGCGCTATAGGCAAGGCGCCACGCAGAATCCGCGTACAAACCATTGTAGGAAGCTAACGACAAAATTAAAGAGCGGAGGACGTCGTTAGCTTACGCGTTAAACGACAAAACAACGAATGTCACTACAATATACAGCTGAGAACAGAGTACTGAAAAAGAAGCAGATGTTACGATGACTGGCTCACGAAACACTCCTGCTTATATGTACATTTTGTACGCTTACAGGTAACGTTAGCTATCAATCCTTACGAGTTAACTCGCTAGCTAGTACGCTAAGTACCTATGCTCCACATATTCAATGTTAAACTACCATTTGAAGCAGATTAACTAGAGTTAGCTGTCGATAACATTACTTTATACTTGCGGACAACAGACACCCGTTTTAAGCCTGGAACAATGTTTCTATTCTTCTTTAAATAATACGCCAGCTAGCTAACGTTAGCTGCTATTTCTTCCCCAAGTGTTCCGCCATGTTCTGGCTCGGGGCCGCGGAGAGACCACTCTCTCCTTACTATTACTCATGCATCCCCAAAACTGTGCAAACCAACAAACTGGAGTCGTATAATTACTTGAAGGTTACGCTTTACATTATACTGCTATTTGCCATTCATTGCCGATGTCTTGCTCAGATAATTGCTAAGTGCCCCCCGTGAGTATTCAGCCATCTTGGGTCCCTTCACAGTCAGTACGGGGTTTCCAGCACGGCAACAACAGGGCAGCCCGCCACATTTAAAGAGACAGTAACAGAGAAAATAACTTGAGGCCACGTCCAGCATGAATGGGTCTAACTTTTGCGATACTTACCTGCCAGCTACACTATCATTGTGTATAAAAATTCAGTGTTCATCGCACTAATGGTCGCATATACATGAGTGGACACCAGTCAGAAACAATCGTTTATTTTGTTTCAATAAAAGAAACCAGAAATGCAGAGTTGAAATCAGTTGTTATGCAAAACAGCAGGATTACAAAAACGTTTTATATCACAATGGTGGGCTTTTAAAACATAATTAAAACTCAAAAACGTCCATTAATTATAGTAACAAATATCCTGGGTTGTCATGTGATCATCAGTCTTCAGCCACTGATCTACTTCAAAAATAAAACGGCTGCTTTCAAAGTCCACAACGTCTTGAAATTCAACCACCCAGGAAAATGTACATAGAAAAAAAAATAAAAATAAAATTCACATAACTTTTAGGGAAACTGAAAAACACACACAAAAAACGTTTTTCTACCCCGTGGAGTATTTCTCCATTCTTCCCATCATAGTGTAACAACTTAAACATGCAGGTTCCCAACCATGACCCAATTTTTCAGTATAAAGCCCAAAATGTAGAGTTTCACCCCATTTATTCCAAACCTCTTTTGCCAATGAAAACGATGTGAAAACATTCCCTTTGTTAAATGGGCAATGCAGTCTTTACAAAGAAAAAGAAAAGAAGCCCTTTTCATACATGTAGTCTTTTTTGATGGCACACGTCAGATTCATAATTAAATGACTAACCTCATCGGGTTTTTTTTATGTATTTATGTACTTCCAAAAGGTAATGAATACGACTTAATTCATGTATGGCAAATGTCCTGCCAGATCAATGACACTTTTGCCACAGTTGCCGGTATAGCCGTTTTCACACACAAACTTAAAAGGTTGGAACAGGCATATCAGGACATTGTGTAAAGTTCTTTCTCACATGTAACACAAAAGCAAGCCTTCCATGTGGTTTAGGTGAGGGAGCTGCACAATTACAATATCCTATAGAAAGGACACAATATAACTACTAAGTTCCTATGCACATTACATGAATTTTGTTCCTGGCTGAAATCCATTTAATGTCCAATCCAACTGCATCACACATTTGTGTTCTTACATGCACCTTTCTCAGGTAATGTCAAGAAAGACATCAGGCTGCAGTGCACATGTGAAAAGAGCTTACGTGTCTGAATGAAGCTGCAAAAAGTGGCCTGAATGGAAAAAGTGCCGTCACTTAAGCACAGTGGTGGAACCATGTCTGAAAAGGGCTTTGCGTTACAAATTACAAACACAAACACATGCTGCCAAGGATGACATTTCCAAAAAGAAAATCCCCAAATTTTTTCCACATCCCCCAATTTTTCCCCAATCTCTCTTCCTCATGTTTGGTACAATATGAAAGAATTCCCCCTGTCAAACTGACTTTGCTGCTTGCTGAGCCTGACGCCGTAAGAGGACGTATATCTTCTCCTTTATCCAGTCTTTGTTGTATGGTTGATATGTTTGAGTGTCAGCTCTGTATCTGTATAAAAAGTAAAATATTTTATTGAAACGTGACCAATGCATCCAAAGGGAATGTTGTGTTGCATTCAAATTCATACACAGCTAATTATACTTACACGAGACAGCTCAGATCTGCCAAGTCATCAATAAAGTCGAACAACTGACTAATGTCATACGTAATGGAGGGACTGTTTGGATTCATCCTCTTGAGGTGCTCTTCATACATTTTGCAAACACCTGGGGAAGAGGCAAATGACATGCTGAATGGAAGCAAAAACAACAACAACAACAAAATGCAATCCACAGGAAAAATTTAAAACAGCAAAAATCAAGAGTAATTTGCATAGACTTTACGGTGTACAGTAATCACTGAAAGAGAAAGACAAGATAAATAAAGAGGCCCTAATAAAGGGAATAAAGTAATAAGTGAAAACAAACAAACCTTTGGCATCACTTTCTGTATTTGTATCTGTATTTATTAGAGCTATTTTGAAATACCTTGTATTTAACTGGTACGTTAATCTGTTATTTACTGTCCTTACTGTCTTCAAGCAACTGTGACCACATCATTTCCTCTGGGATTAATACAGTAGTCTGAATCTGAAAAGTGTATACTGCAGTTCAAGACACACAACGCAATTGTAAACACCTCTTACTTTACAGATAATAAAGGCATTAAAAGGTATATGATAACCCCATTACTACGGAATGCATAACTTGAGGAAATGTACGTATTTTTAATCACAGTCAGTTCTGAATATCATACTAATGATTATTCTTTGTGTAAGTGAACCTTGATTAATCTCTGTTCAATAGAGCTCAACTGCGGTTCAAAACCCCTTAATGTAAAGCCGCAAACACACTGAACCATCCATCACACATTGCCTTGAAGCTGCCAGACGATTGGTTTTGGATATTCCAGGCTCAAATTAGGTGACCCTGTAATTTATTTACTAGCAGGTCATGTGTCAAGCAACAATATTCTTCGCTCTCATAGGTAGTCTCTTCAGTCGATTGCCGCCTGTTCTGCGCACTTTGGCTCGCCAGCAGTTATTTCACTCGCAGGCGATAGAAGTTACAAAATATATAACTTTCTATGGTCTCTGGTTGCCATATCATTGCAAATGGTTTCCAGTGTATACTTTTAGTCAGTGTGCTGAGTGCTTTCAGTCACAGTCATCCTGTTCTTTGGGACAAGCTGCCTGCTGACCTGAGGTCAATTAGAGCTGTGTCAACATTCAAAAAAAAGATTTAAAACCTTTTGTATTCTTTATTTTTTATTAAGGTTTTTTGTTGTTATTTTTTTTAAACTTTTATAGTAAGCACAACTTTACACGTTATTTGTGGTATATAAAAAGGATGTTGACATAAAAGAATTTTATGTTTCCTGAGTCCATAGTTTAAAGAGAGTCACATACGTAATATATATATTTTTTTCTCATGTTTTCTTTTTTGCTTTTTTTTGTTTGTTTTTCTCTCCACAAATTAAGCTGAACCACATAATCCCATACACAGACAATACTTGGTACTAGGATGAATTTATTATTCGCTGGCCTATCATTTGTATGTATTTACTATGCAATCAATATCCTTTAAAAGAATGAGGAATCACAACAAGATGATGAATTCAATAAAATTGCATCTGCTACTACTACTTGTTACACTGAAAGTAAATATTTAAAAAAAACTGCGAGATGATTTATGAATGAAAACATTAAACACTCACCCTCCATGCATTCATTAACTGACTCATAGTCAGCGTATGTGCGGCCCTCTGGTCTCTTGGTTGGTTGGACAAGCAAAATTGTGTGCGACTGTAAAATGATTGATAATGTTTAATACACACCACCACGTAGTTTCTCTGTGTCAAACCAAATCACCTTAATTGGGCAGCTGATGCGAGTTTTTTGAGAGTTTTTGAGACTTGTGTAACCTTCTGCCCAGACATTTTCCAACACCAGTGCAAGGATGGTCATTCAGCTGCAGACCACCGACTTCATCAGTCTTTTACAAAACATCCACCTTAACATTACTTCAGCCACATTAATAAAATATGTAATTTGATTAGATGGTGAAATTAAGTTTTAAGAAACAACGAAGCAGTGGGCAAAAATGCGTGTTTGATAAGAATAGCAAAGCGTTAGCCTCGAAGCTTATTAGCTTAGCTGTGTGTGATTAGCACAAGCTAGTGTGGCCTAAATTTAGAATTATTAGCTCTTTAGATGTAAAATAAAATACACTTACCATCTCTGTTTTCAACGCAAAGCCTCGCTATTTACTGGCTATGCAAAACTGAAAAAAAAACTCGTATTCAGTGTAACTTCTCAGAACCCCGTGCGATGTAGCTGTTTGGTCTAAAAGAAATTTAGGGGAAGTGAAAAAGACCTCTTCCGGTTGTAAAATCGAGTCCCTTCAAAGTATAATTTTTGCTTCAAAATAAAAGTCAGATAATGCAACAGTAATGATTAAAATGTGATTTTTTTTTTCAGCAGACTTTGTTTGTAAAAGTACATATTATTCTTTTTAAAATTATCATAGACATTATTTAAATGGACCCAGGTTGTGCATCTGAAAAGTGTAGCCAGCAGAGAAGCGCTCTAAAGCTGCCTTACTTTTAATGGCCAGTAGGGGCTGAAAGCTTTGTCAGCCCCTGCAAGGCTCCTGCATAAAAGACTTCTGGTAGTACAGAAGTTTGTGGGAAAACGGCCCCCCAATAAATGACTTTTCTAATGAGTTTGTGAACTTACTTGCTGATTATTTAATGGGGGAAAATGTAAATTTAAATTGTAGTCATTATATTGTTTTGGTGTTTACACATTCACTTAACATAGAGAGATCTCTGGTTCATCCCTGGGAGGACACACAAATCCCTTCAGGTCTGCATCAAGAAAGACAAGTGGAGCTAGCTGTTGTGGTGACCCCTTGTGAACTTGGGAGCACCTCTGAGTAGCTTTTACTATTATCCTGCTCGTGTATTGACATGTCAGTAATGATGCCCTACAAGAAATGAAGATGCAAATAAAGCATTTTTTTTTTTTCAAAATTACAACATAGCTGAAAATTTATTAATTGGATATATGATTTAATTTGAGTAATTACAATGAAATTATTTTTTGTTTTAATCCCGACCTACAGGGCAATAACACATACACTGACATAGTGGAGATCACAAAAACAAACTGAAAGACAGTGAAACCAGGACCAAGAGCTATAATATTTGTGATGGTAAATCATATTTTTAAATGAAATATGTAATGTGGCTTGTTATTCTTTTTTTCTTTATTTGGTGTGTATACTGTAGGCTACATTTGTGTACCAAAATCACTTGATTTTCTTCAAACAGAGAGCATGACTGGTGGAGATATCAGTGGCATGTGTGGTTATGGCCTTGCTCTCAGAAGGTCCCTGAGTGTCGCTCTCCTTGTAGTTTCTCTTGGAGATGTGGATACAGGCACCCTCGCCACACCTCCACACTCTCGTTGGCATGCCTCCAGGGACACAAAGTTGTTGGGATTGCCCTGGCAGCCTCCATACCAGAACTCGGTACACTTGGCAGTGGCAGGATTATAGCAGAACCGAACCGTCCAGGTCTCACAGGGGCCCTCATCACGAGGCAGGGAGCACAAATTGCCAGTGGATGGAGGAGTGGGTGATGGGTGCTGCTGATATTGGAGAAAACAAAGCAATATATACATTATATTTGTAGTGTGGTCTGCAGAAAAAGAGCTGCAATTGTAGACATTTTAAATGGTGAAAGAAATATTAAGCGTTACATATATGATTATATAATTGTTTTGCAGAGACAAAGATACTTTCTTATGGTTGTCATTGTGAATAATGCTCTAAAAACACATGATATTTTATCTCTGTAGTGCTTCTATTTGACCATATCTTTTTGGTGAACACTCAAATTTAGTAAACTTGGCAAATATTTTGTTACTAAGTGAAAGTCATCACTAGATTTATATACACAGCTGTTATATTATTCAGAAAGGTTAACTGTGACTAGCTCATAAAATCAGTTAATAATGTGATTCCTACCACAGTCTGGTACTCAGGACACCCAGCCTGTCCGAATCCTTGAGCGGGTGTCACCCCATCCAAACAACAGCCATACCTAAAACAGAGACGATGGTTTTTCTTTTTTAATTTCAGTTTGAAAATGGGGAAAAATTTTCTCTACACTTTCACATCACTTTCGTCTGCATTTTCTGCAAAATAGTGTTTAGAGGTACTCAAGTTACCTAGTGCGGACACATTCCTGTGAGCATCCCAGGTTCCCGGGCCCCGTGGCAGAGGTACGGCCATCAGGACAGCAGCCGTAAGGCGACTGCGTACAGTGAGGTCTCACCTCATTAGGGTAAGAGTCATACACACTGTTTGTAGCTGGCCTTGAAACTAAAGCAAGTAAACAAATGAGGTCAAATATACTGTATGCATGCATTCCTTTCTAATTTTAAAAGCTTTTGAATAACATTTCTTAATAAGTCTGTGTAGGTTCTCAGTCATCCAGGTCATTCTTTGTAGGTAATAAAAGATAAGTCGTGAAAAGTTTGTTGTTGTTGTTTTTAGTTAAAAAAAAACAGCTTTTATAATACAGAAAACGCTTTGTAGAAGGAAAAAGAAATGGCTGTGTTTGAGCTTGTGGCTTACCTCCAGTTATCTAAGTTGGAAATTAGGCTAAAACAAGTTTGGAATTTTCTGTTTGTCTATGAAATACAAGAAGGTAATGGGAGGGCAGCACAGTCATAGTCTAGACAGCAACAATTACAACATGCTGAAAGCGTACATTATCTTTATTGTGTGAAGAAACCTCAACTGTGTTGCAATACTAAAATTACTGTCTGCGTCTTAAGACACTTTATTTTTTATTTTATTTTTTATTTTTTACAGTGGCTTTGATTTCACATATATAAAATGCACTCTGAGTTGTGAAACACTGCTACGTCTGTGGGGGTGAGTGTCTCTAAATGTTCATTAATTCATTATTCAGCACTGTAATATCAGTTCAGTTCAAATTAGTTCAATTCAATTCAGTAGTACCAAATCACTAGAAAAAATGCCTGAAGGAGCTTTGTACTATAAGGCAAACCCCAAAAATCAAACAACCCCATATGAACAACCATTTTGCAATAGTGGGTAAGAGCATAGAGACGGGACTAAATACAGACTACGGGACAGAGAAGACAAAAATTTGGTGCTGCAGTGGTGTGTAAACATGTGGGCAATGAAAAGAGGTGAGTAGACAAGTTCCTGAAGCAGTCTGTGCCCTATAGCAGTATAGCTACAATCTGCTTCAGGGTCAGCCAATTCAGCCTCAACTATAAGCTTCATCAAAAAAAGAACATTAGTAAACTTTCCCCAAATCCAAACTGGGACCTGGTTCCTGAATTCCAAACTGGGACCTGAATGCTGAAGGCTCTGCCTCCCATTCTGCTTTTAAAATCTCTAGAAACCACAAACAAGCCTGCAGTCTGAGAGAAAAGTGCTCTATTGGGATGATATGATTCTATGAGATTGTATTACAGACAAGGGTGATCTTATGTTGTAGTGCCACATATAAAGAAATTGCATGCTCAACCATGCAAAGAAAGATGGTAACATTTCCGCAAATTGCACTCGTCATACCTGAAGGTTCTTCTGGAATATGGGGCGCAAATCCTCTAATAGTGCTTCCACCTGGCCTTGGGTCCTGCACACTTGGGGCCGCTGGAAAAGAAACAAGGTTGACAATATAAAATAAATAAATAAAAGTAAAAATGATCAGAACTTGCTGCATTCACATGTTACTCACTTTGCACCCCAGGGCAGGGGTGCGTGTTGCATTCCTCCACAGAATGTGGTCTGTGAGCTAACCCACAACGATCTTCAGGGTAGGGGTTCAAATCAGTGTCAAAACAGGCAACTCTCCTCTCCCTCACACCGCCACCACAACTTCTCGAACACTGCGAGATAAACAAAGATAGTAACGCGGAAAGGAAAATAACAGTTAGAGCTTTTTTTGGCTTTCTGTTCCCTTACCAGGCCGTACTCTGTCATATGCCAGGTTATGCGTGTGTAACAGGCAGGTCTGCGGCAAGCCTGGACAGAAGGAGGTCGAACCAGTCCACTACATGCATGATCAGGCAGATGTTCGCCTCCTGGTCCGACGCAAACAACTTCCCTTGTCTGCTGTCCTTCTCCACAGGTTGCTGAACACTGACCATCAAATGCAACAATTTAGTTAATATTTTTAACTGATTTGAGTTGATAAATACAAGCAGTGTAACAATCATATATGAACAAGGTCATACTCTATCCAAGATAGGTGTTGTATCAGCCCAAAAAATTTTAAAATGGCAAAGATGGTCTAAGTAGACATAACTAGTGTGTTTTTCTGTTTTTACAGATTTGAAAATCATAAATTATTATTACCTTAAATACTATCAACTTAAATACCATAAATCCTGCTCTCATTTTGTTTCATATCATTAGGATAGTTCAAATATGATTGTTTTTAACCGTAGGCGACATACTCCACTGAAGCTGGACACGCTGTACTCTGCAGTACATGGATGCATGTTGCAGGCCTGCTGACTCGGTGGCCGTTGCAGGCGCTGGGCAATGCAGTAAGTCTCGTCGACCACACGGGGGTTCACTGGATCCTCAACTACACACTCCACACTACGATGCTGCATGCCTCCGCTGCACGAGGCAGAGCACTCGCCAAACACACCAGCTCTATAGACATATGTGAATGTCTCTCTTGGACGAGGAGCAGCAACAACAACTGGAGCAGAGGAGTGTACTGAGTTAGTGTCTTCATCCAAGCCCATAAACTCTCCACGGGTCAGTATCTAAAAAAAAAAAGACAAATTATTAGGAAATAACTATAAGAAAAAGAACCAACAGGTATTACAAAAGTGAAAAGAGTCCTATAAATCCCATTTTAGGAGAGTAAAATTCTCTATGACTAAAAGAAAACCTAAGGACTGCATCTACCCTCAAAGACAGGGGCCTAGTTTCCACTTTAAGGATAACAACAGAAATATCTTATGTATTCTTTTTCTACCTTTAACTTCAACAATCTTTTTTTCTAAATCTGGCTGACAAACAAGAGTTAGCAATAAAGAAAAAACTTCTTTGCTTTGAACAATCTCCATCTTTAAAAGTAAAAAATATACAGATGATCTTTCGACCTTATTTAGATTCATTTTTATGCTCTATTCTAGCGTCACACTCTGCTCTTGGATCATTTGGTACATTGAAACCCAAATATTTAAACTAAGTAAGAGTCACATGCATAGTTCTAATCTGCAGCTCCAAATCTCACCCTGCAGACGCCATCCACACAAATATCACTGCGGCCCACGTAGCACGGGGTCCCATCTACCACTGCAGTTCTGTGTCGGTAAAAGAAATCCTCTCCTCTCGGGACACAGTTGAGCTCACATGGATTAGCTGCTAGAAAGGGTTAGGGAGTCACAAACCTAAAAACACTTAAATATTGTTGTACATATTGTACATGTACCTCCACAATAAGGCAACCATGTGTAGCGTTTTCCATTAAAGTCCATTCCGTCAAACTGGGAGCACTGCTCCTCCCTGAAATCCCTCGAGCTCACTGGGCATTCCTGCATGACAGGAAATCTAATATATAAACAAGATACTATCTATTTTCTCTTTGTGCAAGTATTTTTAAATGGGTTTAAAGGATAATTACATGTGTATTGCAGGTGCGGAATGATTTGGAGGATCCTATGCAGTTATGTCCACCATCTGTCCTGCAGAAGGAAATGAAATAAATGGCATTTGCACACTCAAGTGTTAAAAGACACAAATTAAAAATGATATAAGTAGAGTCTTTTGTAATGTTACAAATGAATACAAAATTACCTTAAGTTCATATATTCAAAACACAATAGCAATGAATATAAATATGAGGCTCTTTACTCCATGCATTTCTTTGCCCTACCTTGAAGTAATACATTTCCTGGTTCTCACTGCCACCCCTGTGCCACAGCTGCGGCTGCAGGGTCCATAGGCTCCAAACTCACCCCAGTAGTCGTGGGTTGAACGTGTCAACTAAGCAAATAAGAGAAACTCAAAGTCAGGCTCTGGAACATGTTGTGCTCCCACATGGGACATCAGGTCCCGACACAAATCCCTAACTCACACACTAAAAGCATTCAAGATGCACTAAAAAAAAAAAAAAAAAGCATTTAGCCACAAACTAACACTTATACATTACACAACATTTTTACAAACCTGTTCTGTGACACATTGAACTAATCATGCCTGCACATCAGAAAATAAATCATTTACCACTTAAAAAAATAAATCAAAGGAATATTTTCCTGTGTCATAAGGTACTGTTGATATGAATCTGTAATAATACAATACTATTAATATTGTTAACATAAAAAACTCACTGTAAAAGCAGGTACAGCCAACAGCTGTAGGAGTCCCAGGACTTGCAGGATGTTCATGTTCACCTGAAGCCACTGCTGAACTACTGACGAGGATAGCAATTAATTAACGCAACTTACAGTGCAAGAAATTCCATTTAACACAAATGATGTGCGTGCAGTTCATTCATCCATTAACAGATTAATGTGTATCAGATGAAACATGAGTCCCTCAGGACCCATGCTAAAGTATTAACAAGTATCTATTCCATGCAAATACAAATGAAAAGCTGGATAAAAAAAAACTTGTAAAATCTTATTACTGAATTACCTGATTGAAGTGAATTCCCAGATTGCTGACTAGCTGCACGGTGGGATGTGCACTTCAGCAGTGACAGCAGGCAACGACACCCAGCATTGCTTCTTCCATCACCCTCTCACTGCTTACTGACACCACAGCCCATAAAGTGTCATATTTCAACCACTAAGAGAAACACTGGTTTTCTATTTTTTTGTTCTGTTTTGATCGTAAATATGTTTCTTGCTGGAGCAGAATGTCTGAAGTTAGAACTCCCACGTACCGAGACTCGTGTTGTTAATTTACATCAAGTCTTTTTATTCACACAAATGTTTTGGGGGTACAGAAATTATGCAAATGTATAGGCAATGTATAGATTCATGCAGAAATGGAACATCATCAAAGTGTGGTCGATTTCATAATATAAAGGAGGTTACATATGTCATCACATGCAATTTAAATACGTCTCTGCAACATATCTTAAAGTTGTATTATTTGCGAAGCGCACTAAAACGTGATTCAGTGTGAAAGAGAATTTTCCATTGATTGCCTTTTCTGAAGTGTCTCACCATTGATTGTCTCCTTCACACATCCTGTAACCACTAAATACAGACGAGTAAATCACAACAGGGGAGCTAGTGGGAGGTAAACATAGGTTTAAAGCTCTATTTAGTTTTATTTTAGCAAGAAACCACAGTGGAGCATGGCCTGGATGTGAACATAGCATGGAGGACAAGGAACACCGGGAATCAGTGAACATCAACATTCCTGTGCCAATGAGCTGCAATACTAGAGGAGCCGTTCAGGCTGACGAAAGAAAACTATATAATCAAAACAGAATGTGAGTATATAATAGTATATCATATATGGGGGGAAATAATGACAGCAAGCTTGATAGTAAATCTTTAGTTAAATGGCAGCATAGGCTTTAAGTTATAGTCTCTTGTCATCGCCTTTAAGATGCAAGTACATAGCAATCAAACAAAAAAGAAAGGCAATAAACTGTGCCTTTGTTGGGTTCATATTGTTAATGTTTAAATGAAACTATTATTTTAAGGGAAAATCCAGCATTCATATATATATATATATAAATAAAGTCAGTGATATTATATTATAAAAATAAGAAAGAATATTGTTGTTGCTAGACTTAGCAATCAATGACAAAAATCTTCACAAAGACAAGAAAGCACGATTCAGCAATGTCAAACTTCAGCATCTCGCCCCATCACCGACCCATCCATTCAAAATGTAAGCATCCAAACTCAAAACCACAACCCCAAACACTCGACAAAGAGAAGCAAAATCTGCCAGTCACTTTTTGTCCCTCAAAGCTGCTGGTTCAGTTTCTGTGTTTGCTTCTCTTGAGGTTCAAAGGCACTCTTGGTGCTGAACAGGTCGTCCATTGATTCCACGATTTCCTGTATTTCTCGGGACAGCTCGGAGTAGCTCTCTTTAAGGTCCTCTTGCTGCTTCCTGAGGTCTGCTGCCGCATGCGTCAGCTCAGAAACCTGTTCGTTGCAGGTGGTCCTCAACTGCTCCACGTCCAAAAGCATCACCTCCATGCTGTTTATCAGCTCCACCAGACGCTCAGCAGTTGTTTCAAACCCTGATGTGTCCAGACTTCCTTCTTCCTTGGAATTGTCTGGAGCGCTGGCTCCTTCTTCTGGATTTGGTTCTGTCTCCATCCTCGTGTTGTAGCGACTTTCAATCAGCTGATACTCAAGTCAGTCTTCAGTATAGCAGTTTTCTGGAAGAAAAGGGAAGCATTTAGCTGTAGCCAATAGCTGTGATAGGTTCAACTGCAAAAAAATTATTCAGTTTGGGTGAGAACTGTCAAAGATGCAGATCTAAGCTCTTCACAGGGAGTGAAAAATGCATTTCTATCTATCAACTTTAATAGCAGGAAATTAACTAGGCATATCATTATCTTCTTACTCTGTGTTTTGCTATATTTTTCAAGTAATTAATATTTGACAACAGCATAATAAAACTGGAAATGCTATTTTTGGTGTACCACCCCAATATTTTCAGTGACTCCTATATGGCCACCCCTATGAAAAAATTCTGGAGGCGGCCCTGGGTGTATGTGTGTATAGTTGTATGTGTTTTATGTCTACCCAAGTGCCCTTTCACTGACATGGCTATACCAAGCTATAACCCCCTACTCCACCCACACCCACACCCGCTAGTCCAAACTACTGCCGGCTTCGATGAGGGACAGGCGGGACATGAGATTATGTGTTTCTTCCCTCCTCCCAAATTGAGACTATTCACTCCTTCGGCTGTCTGAACAGATGGATTAACCTCGTCCTCTGCCTTGACACACATGCACACAGTCATATGCACGCTATAATATAAGATGAACTATTGAAGACACATGGAGCTATACTACTGCAAGTCAGTTTGAAATGTCACATGCCATTTGAATAAATGCAGAATGTGGCTTGGCCCATTCTTTTACATTAAGGAATTACAGGCAAATGCCAGCAGTTACTCTAAAAACTGCATATTGTTCAGCAGTAATGGAAACTTTACAGATGAGCAGGCTAACAGTATGCACTAATGCACCGGCGTGCTGTCAATGCAATGAATTTTTGGGACCTCTCTAAAAGTGTAAAGTGATCGTTTCACAGCTTGAACCAAAGACATCGCCACTATTCTTTTACGTTGGTTATCCCAAAAAGAAACAGCCTAAAATAAAACAGTGTATAATCATCTTCCCTGAGTTTTCTGGCGCGAACGTCAGAGAAGATCCAAAGAATGCTGGCAATAAACAGAGGTGACTGGGGAAAAGAACGGGAAACCAAACGGGCTACGCAGAAAAGGGAAGGAAAAGTGTTGAGACAGGTGAAAACTCAAGGAAAGTAATAATAAGACTTTGGATACGAAAATATTTTTATATTCAATTAGTGCTGTAAAACAAACAAACAAAAGTATTCTTTCCTATTTTTAATTTTTTTTAAAAAAATTTGATTTTTAAAATATACACTCAATCAATTTAAAGTCTTTAAAGAATTAAATAGTTAAATGCATTAAAACAGTGACAAAATCCACATGTTCAAAAATGTGTTAAAGAGCCACCAAAGGTTCCTACCCTTTAAATGGCTGTAAAGATAAGGAGTCTAGACGATGACCTCACCACCCTCGGTCTCTTATCAAAACATGACAACTTGCTCGATGGAGGCCAATGTCAGGGGGATACCCTTACTCTGAGAGTGGTGTAAAATACAAGGGTGTAAGTTTCAAAAGAAAAGTAATGAATTATTAATGAATTGGTTCAGGACACATTACCTAGACAACAAAGACAGCAGTTGTCTTGTTATAAAATAAACATTTGCAGACAGTATGA